CACTCATTTGCTCGGCTTTGCGCTGGCTTGTCGATCGCAGTGGGAATTGGCTCTCTGTCATCGGTGGGCTCGGGCTGATGCTCCGCATCGCGGGGAGATGATGGGCTGGGCACTGGGTCTGCAGTGGACCTGACGAGATCATCCATGGGGCAGGTGGTGGATTGCGACCCGTTTCTCGCCAGAGTCCACTCCACGACGGCGACGAAATCCTCTCGAGGACCATCCTCGGACGACGGCGCTCTGATCGCAGTGTTCAAGCTCACGTCATAAAATGAGCAGAGCGTGTCGTCCGGGTAGCTGGTGGTGCTAGCTGACAGCCGAACCAGTCTTGTATGGTCCTCGAGAGAACTGTCCCCCTGCTCCAGCCGGAGGAGGAATTCCAGGCGGAAGAAGGGATCCATATCAAGAAACACAACGGAAACAAAAACACTGAGAGAAAAACGAGAAAACAAACGGAGGAGAAAACACAGAGGTAACTGTGTTGGTCAGGTCTTCTGTCACGTTACGCTGCTGCAGGAAGAACGTAGGAGACACGGAGTAGCATTCACAGTCTTTAATGATGAAAACACGGGATAATCCACAATAGGAGCTGGGCAGACACACGTAGAAACAAGTAGACCTGACAAACACAAACTGAACAGACTAGGAATTTTAAACACAGGGCAATCAGGGAAACACAGGTGACATCAATGGAACATAATCAAACTAAACGAGGACAGGAACATGACCAAATAATGAAACACAGGAAGGACTACGGGGGCAAAACAGGTCCAAAAGTCTAGCAACACAAAACATAGCAACAGTAATAATAACACCAACGAACTTACTTCAGGGACATTAAAAACGCATGTTTACTACACTTTGTACACTTTGTACTACAGTTCTTCTATATAGTGGTCAATGAATCTGAAGTCTCGCACATTCTCAGAAAATGGCTTTACTTCCATGTTGCAAAATAAGGTGGATATATAGTACGAATGTCTGTAGTATGAATGAAATCGAAGCCTACAACATCTGCGTTGGCTGTGTCATGTGACCTCAAGGGATAGTAAAGCTTCCATCGAACGCACACTCAAGAATCTCAACAGAGGTAGTCATCCTGGGAATTTTCACCTACTGTTTTTCAGATGCTATTAAATGATGTTTGTCCATAATAGATGCTATTATGGACAAACTACTCTTTTGGCATGCTGTTTTTATTTACCAAGTAAGTAGGCATAATAGGCTGCAGCGTATAACTTATTTGTCCTTTTTTGGATACTCTAGTACTTGCCCACTCAGCGAGCCCATAGTGTCTGCAATATTATCTCACATTTTATGAGAGAAAACATTTGATTATTTGATTAGGTTTGATTATGCACGTTTAAATGTTTCATACGCAAAAATAAATAAACAAATGAGTATTAGAAGATTAACCTCCAGTGAAACAATAATGATATGGCAATTACATAATAACTAGTAATAAAAACAGAAATGCAGACCTGCAGTTCTTCTTCTGCCAGCCTTAACTCCTTTTCTATTTCTTCAATTGATGCCTGCAGTTCAGCCCTGTGATGCTGATGGTTGTCCAGTTGTTCCTTTGCTATAACTACAGATTCTTCAACACTGGGTCTGGCTTGAAGCACACCATTTCTCTTGGTTTCAAAAAGCAGCTTGATATCTCGCTCTAGCTGCTCTGATTGGTTGTCTGTGTCATGCAACCTTCGACTGTGTTTGTCCAGAGCTAAATGGAGTTCATTTTTTTGCCGTAGAATGTCCTTTTCTCTTTGAACCTCAGACTGAAATTCATTTTCCCAGTGCAACGCGTGGGCCAACTCTGTCTCGTTCCGCCCTAAAAGCTGCTGTAGGTGGTCCATTTTCTCAAGGAGGTCAGGGGAAAGGGTTGGAGGAGGAGCCCGCTCCCAAATGCTCAGCTCCCTCTCTAGAGACTCTACCTGTCCCTGCAGAGACTGTAGCTGCCCTTGTTGTCGTAGTATCTGCTGATAAAGTGTGTCTTTGGATGGACCAGCTTGGGCAAGAGACGAGGGCGGAGATGGGGACACCCCTCGTGCTTGGGAGTCTCTTGGTGGTTTTTCAACCTGTTTTACACGGGTTTGGGGTGATGTGGAGGGCCCCAGATTGAAAGTAAGAGCTTTTTTTGGCTCTTTGTGTTTGAGGGGCTCTGGATCTGGAGGTCTGGGTAATTTCGGGGCTCGACCTTGGTCTGAGCCTTCACTGCTTGTGGGGCCGGTGCGCCGTAGGATGAATTGCACTTCATTGCCTAATTGGCCCAGTTTAGCCAGGGACTCCAATGGGCGTTCATTGGCCACAAGCTGCCGTTCCTTATCCCGCAGTTTCTGGATAAGAACATAACGACCAGTTTGCCCTGGAGAGCACATTAAGAGCGAACGTTAAAATACAAACGCACTAGCTGTTCAAAGAGCAAAACAGAGAGAGGCTCAATAACTTACCTATAGCCTGGGCAAGGGCAATGACTACATCCTGACAAGATGTCTGTTCTGATAGGCCACAGACAACACGTGGAATACCATCCACCCACACCTTCAGCTCCATGACTGTGAGAAAGTCAGTAAGGAGCGTCTCTACATGACAGTGATCTGCTGAACAGATACAACAATTAAAATACAGAACAATTACTTACAATATAGAGAATAACTGCACTTAGAAAACCACCAAAATACAGTTGTGAACTGTCAGGCACTGATTGTTAAAATGCTTGCTGAGAAACGATTATCATACTCTGCTATGTTCGAGGGAGATTTTTTAAAAAGCCTTGCAATATGTATAGAGAAACCGGTGTGGATGTAAAATGTCTTAAATGGGTTTCTGAAGGTACACAATTGCTTTATATGATGAATATTTAATATAGGCTTTTATTCACATGGAAATATTGATCAATGCACAAACATACAGCACATGAAATATGGTAAACAGAAGTACAATCTTGCTTGCTTGCAAACATCATTGGTTCATGGATTACATTCGCAATGTCTGTATGAACATTTTGAAACATCAACGGTTTGGTTGCATTAACTTTCCATGGAGGGACAGAAATCTATTACGTTTCACTACAAAAATCTTCATTTGAGACTTGACGATGAACTACACTCTTAACGGTTTGGAAAGACGTAAGGATAAGTAAACAATGACAGAATTTTCATTATTGGGTCCTTTTTTTAAATGAAGGCTAAGTAGCTCAGGTCACACTTTAAACTGGGAACATTCCAGATTCTGGTACTTCAGATGTGAAAATTGCAACTTTTACTTAAATGTAATAGTTTAAACTAACTAAACTAACCGAAACTATAACAAGAGACAGTGCAAAAACACACTCCAAATGTTTTGCCATTCGATTATGAGGAATGCTGCTTTACAAGTCAGAAAATGGCAAAGTGTGCCATGGATTAAACCAATGAATGCCATAATGTATTAAAACATTGTTACTGTTAGATAATGTTTTTAGAGTACATCAGAAAGATGTGTTGTGATGAAGATTCACACGTCATGTAACTGTAAGAACATGGTTCAAAAGAGCATGATCACTTTTAACCTGACACCACATTTCCCTAGAAGTACACTCTTAAAAATAACGGTGCTTCAAAAGGTTCTTCACAGCGATGCCATAGAAGAACCAGTTTTGGTTCCGCAAAGAACCATTCAGTCAAAGGTTCTTTAAAGAACCATCTCTTTCTTACCTTTTTATAATCTGAAGAACCTTCTTTCGCCACAAAGAACCTTTTGTGAAACAGAAAGGTTCTTCAGATGTTAAAGGTTCTTTATGGAACCATTTAGACAAAAAGGTTCTTCTATGGCATCGTGAAGCACCTTTATTTTTAAGAGTGTATGCATGCATGGTAAAATGAGGAACATAAGGATTTTATTCAGTTCTCAACTTCATCCAGACTGTAAATGAACCAGGCACATTTTTTCAGAAAACGTCAGCAATGCAAGCCAATAAACTCCTTCAACCAACACATTAATGAGAAGTCATTGATCAAATTATATCTGCCCTTGAGCATGTTCTGACAACAGCAATCAGCCCTATTTTGCAAGTTATCATTGATTTTGATGTACATTTTAGGGAAGCGCTGATATTCAAGCTGCTTCTGGCAACTTAACAGGTTTGAAGACACTCTTAAACTGGCTGTTTGTTTTTAAATATGCTCTGTGAGGTGAGTTAGAGAGTGTCTCATGTCCTCAACCTGCATATTGACTCCTGAGGCAATCATTAACCAACCTTCACATTCCTGCAAACCTTGAAACTGTGCTCACATGCTCAAAGAATGTGTGTACTGTACTCACAGTCACAACACTTCTGCCTGTCAAACCAGATCATTTAATTTGACAAAACGGCAATAACCATAAGAGATAAGGGGAAAAGTTAACACAAATATGTTGTTTGTCTTTGGTGTCTGCACAGAACATAGCTCACGTTTCATGGCTTGTATTTCATAATGCTTTACTATAACAAAGATATCATGTATTTGGCTTGATTAAGCCACATCTATGTTAAATGTAATCATTGACTTATTTCAGCACAATGACATTGATTATTTTTAAGACAGCTTTCACACATCAGCTGTAAAATATTAGTAAACTGTGATGTCAGAAATGACCTTCTTTCTTTATCCCCTCACATATAAAGAAGTACATTTTAGTCTTTATGTGTTTTTGCTTTTAAAATGTGACACACTGCAAAGCATTAGCTATGCAACCAACACACTCTCTTGTTGGCAATTCATAACAATTGTACATTTTGGCAAATTGGAGACTAATTTGTGTACATTTTTTCGATCTCATTCATATGCTTTTGTATAATTTGCTTACACCCCACTGACGTTAGGTTTAGGGTGGAGTTTTGTGTGGGCCTTCTTCAGACTTACCCTATCTTCAAAAATTGTGTTTCCGAACAAATTCTTACGAAATTGCCACCTCGTAAAATAGCTACATTTTCTCATTAGATCAGGTTGTGTGCAACTGCAGAGCTGCAGCACTAATGAATGGAAAAGAAGTCAAGGTCTCGAAATGCATTCTTAAAATGTGCTCATGCACAAAAGCAAGACACACCACAACGGTCCATCTAGTACATCTTTACATAGAAAATCAATTAAAAAAGCAGCACAGGGAGTGGAACACAAAATAAGTTTTGTGAGAACCTGCTCTAACAGTGCAAATTAACTGTGTTATCTTTGTCATAATTATATGACTGCTCCTACTGTATGTGTCATTAACAGTACTGAAAAACATTATATTTTCGGGTAAGCAGGTGTTATGATTACCGGGTTATTATCATTGTATTATTGGTATATTATCATGTACTGCCTTATAATTAGCGTACAATACTTGCTATAGTAAACACAATGCATTAATGCAACGGTAGCTTTCAGTTCCGTTTTTATTACTGCTATACACAATAGTCATTTGATTCATCAAGCATGTAAACCTACTTCCTTGTGGTAACAGTAGTCCTTATTGTAGCTTCAGAATTCACATTTGCGATATGATCGTGTATCATTTATATTGTAAAGTAACATGTGGAAGTCTCTCTAAGCAATGTTATCCACGGATCTTATTTTGCTCAGCTATTCTAAAAACTACACGGGTAAAGTGAAATGTTCTGTTTACATGTCAATAGTGAGTTCCTCACACAGTGCCATAGCTAAGAAAAAATACAAAAAGAAAATAAATATTAACAATATAATATCTTAGCACATTTATACATTTGAAAACTATTTAAAAAGTGTTTACTCAGCAAGCTTTGTGAACTTCCTAGCTGTCTGTAGCAGATCAGATGATGTGACTGTAATCATACACCATCCACCTCCATTAGCAGGCCCGCAGTAGATACCAGTCTCTGTTCTCCCATTGTCTTTTAAACACAAATCTGCCGTGAAGTGTGGAGACCCATGAAATCAGCCTAGTTTGAAACATTCCACTCCTGAAATTTAAAACCATTAACCCTAAACCAGTTCCATGAGCAGGAACATCAAAGATTCAGTGGTTCTAACTGACTTGACTTACTAGAGTAACACATTATGTGTTGAAATAGAAAACTAGTAATGAACCGGCATCAGGAATTACACTTTAAATCATATTCACATGTTTCAAGTTTGAATTGTCAGTTGTTTGAATATATGTTTTTGAAGGTGTGAAACGCAAATATGCTTGGGAAAAACATCTAATTTCTCATGTTTCCCTGTCAACATGAGTTTACAGGAGTACCCAGGAGGGCACATGCTACTAGAACCATATGGCAAACTAGAAATACAGGTTTCATGCTATTTCTTCTATCTGATGATGACAGATGTTCCATTGTGGTCATAAGACCTCTATATGTTTGACAGCTGAAAGACGTATAGGAGACTCTCTTTTTTGACCTGAAATGTCATCTGAGAGTTCACCTACACTAAATAAGAGACTGTATGTTGATGGCATTCTCACTCAGTGAACCATGAGAACCAAGAAAAATGTTTAAACCATCTGAATTCCATTTGTTATGTGAACCAGCTAGAACCAGGCTCAGGGATGTGTCTCACAGGCATTAGATTTCTTGTGTTAAAGGGGTGAAACTGGCCTGCTTACGTAGAACAGCATATCTAAACCTTCCCCATTGTGTGCAAAAGGAGGAGTGTACTCTCTCCCTCTCGAGTGAGTTCATTGACGACTACAGGTAAATAGTATCGCCAAACAAAGTCAGACGCCTTAGGTATGCAGCATTACAGGTGCATCAACCTTGCTTTTCCTGCTAAAGAATTCCAGTCGAATTTTATGAAAAAGGAACAGGAAAGTGTAAAAGAACTCTACTATTAAAAAAAAATACTAGTAAACATTCTTCCATCTTAGAAACATTGCCAAGAAACGTGTTACCTGTTTCTGATGCAGGAAAAGCTAGTTCATGCATTCATGACCTCTAGACTGGACTATTGTAATGCACTGCTAGGTGGTTGTCCTGCATCTTCAATAAACAAGCTACAGGTAGTCCAAAATTCAGCGGCTAGAGTCCTTACCAGGTCAAGAAAATATGATCATATTACCCCAATTTTACAGTCTCTGCACTGGCTACCTATTAAGTTCCGTATCAGTTACAAAATATTATTACTTACCTATAAGGCCCTTAATGGGTTAGCTGCTGCGTACCTAACTTCTTCTACCATGCTACAATCCATCACGCTCCCTAAGGTCGCAAAACGCTGGACTTTTGGTAGTACCTAAGATAGCAAAGTCCACTAAAGGAGGTATTTGGCTCCCAAACTCTGGAATAGCCTTCCTAATAACGTTTGGGGTTCAGACACACTCTCTCTGTTTAAATCTAGATTAAAAACACATCTCTTTGGCCAAGCATTCAAATAATGCAATCATCTTTGACGATAGTGGTCCTGACAGAACTTAATTTGCTGTAAAGTTGCTTTGCAACAATTTGTATCGTGAAAAGCGCTATACAAATAAACTTGAATTGAATTTAATTGAATTCAAGTAAAAGTCTGTGTTACAGGGTTATCATAGTTTACGTAGTCTAAATTTAATTTACAAACAATAAAAACTAATAAAAATGACAAAAACGCAAAACAAAATCACTAAAGCTAACTAAATTTAACATGAAAGCTGAAAATATAGTTTCAAAATATGAACAAAATCTATCTCATTGATACTAAAGGTTGCTACTAACACTACTGTGATAGATGTACTGTACATTATCACTTCTTAAATTAGATGAGATATTGTGAATATGTTTCATGGCTTAGTACAAAATCCAAATCTTGCTAAATCCCCATTGGATTATGTGTATCCCTTGTTGGGAATCTCTGATTTACTGGAATTTCTACAAAGAATAACCACAAAATGTATGTTGGGAGTGGTCCTCTCTTTCAACCCATCCTCAGAGCGAGACAACCTCTCCACTAAATTTACGACATGATTCGTAGTCTTGAGCTGCAGGAACATAAATCAGATAGACTGTTCTTTCTTTTTTTACGCACATTGATTTCATCACTAATGCTTTTCGTGTTTCAAGATCCGTAATTTAAACTGCATCGATTAACAATTCACCATTCTCACCTGCAGGTGCTCAGTTATATGAAATCGAGCATTTGCCCTCACTGACACAGTTTGTGAACAGCAGCAGTCGGAGTGTAGATTGTTCTGCATATCCAAATACGGTGACATCATTCCGTCAGGTGAATGAAATGCAGAAGAATTTAAATGAAAATTTCCCTAATCAGATATTTCCTTAAATGATTTAGGTGAAAGATTATGGAGAATAATATAGGCTACTCATGTAGATTAGCAATTGATCACTGTGTTAATAAGAATAATAATCTTCAAAACATCAAGGTAAACTATTTGTCGCCCTGTTTATGTTGGGCACATGAGCATATTGCAAAGATGCATGACAGTAGAACCTGTCAAAAAATTATCAAAAAAGGAAATGATTGTTTTTAATCTGGATTCCAGACTTTGCTAATTATTTATTTCTATTATATTATTAATGTATTATTCTATTATTTATTTATGAAATTAAACTTCAATTTTTCAAAGAGTTCATAAAAAGGTCTTGTTTTGTAATAGTCCAGTTTCTCACACTTTGATCGAACATTTTAAAGGAACAGTTAGTTGATCAGAACGGTCAGAAAAACTTATCAAGAAATACAGCCCAATTGCCAAATGAACTCTCATTACCACTAAGCATAACTCACAAACACAAAAACGTAATAATTTACTCAGGCATTATGCAGGTCTACATTTACACAAGTGACGGAATGAGTCAAAGGACCTGACCGCTGCTTATATCGGACAATCCACACAGTCCAACCGTCAAACAAAATATATGATCTACATTATCCATGGATAACACACAGTAGAATTATGACTAAACCATTATGACTAATTCCCTTCAGGCATTTTTCTTTTCATGAATAAAAGCAGGTTTTGCAAAACCTGGTAACCTCAATTAGTTATTTATTTTTTATTTTAACAGACTTCTTCCATATAGAAACAAAGTGTTCCTGAGCCACACGATGTTCCTGTGGCTCAGTGGTAGAGCATTGCGTTAGCAGTGCAAAAGGTCATGGGTTCGATTCCCAGGGAACACACATACTGGTAAAAAATGTATAGCCTGAATGCACTGTAAGTTGCTTTGGATAAAAGTGTCTGCTAAATGCATAAATGAAAATGAAATGAAATGAAATGAAAGTGGACCTATTTACCAGGTTTCTATAAACCATTTTCTACTAGTTATAAACTATTTCCTTGCTACTGATTAAAATCAAGGGCATAATCCAAACATAATTTCAACTACTTTTCCCTTGTTAAAGCTGCTTTCCTTTCCAGACAAAATGGAAACATCTGTGTAAAATTTGGCACATTTTATTGTCAAGTCTGTAGCTTAACTAGACAAACCTGCTGGTTAGACAGAAAGCTATATTTACCTTAGAGTTGAAAGCTTGCTTCTGTGTGTCCTCCTTCCTGGTTATCATGTTGAATATATATAAAAACAATTACCGTCCCCAAACGTGTCTGATGTAAAATCAAAGAGTTAACCTGTAACACAGATGTCGGTGTCCAACAGGTGTTGCTTTTCCTGTATCTACAGGAGCAGGACTAATGGCGCACTGCTCGTTTCGTCTCTTGAAAGTGACTCTCTCTTTCCGCTCTCCACAATGCTGACACATACCACAGCCTTCCCATGCTCCTCCCCTCCACAGGTAATACCAGCCATAGTGCTCTCATTATCTCTCTCTCTCTCTCTGTCCTGCTCTCGTTCTCTGTCATTATTTTGTCAAAGATCTTAGAGCAGTTTGTAAAACTGGCTTAGTTAGGACATAGTACTTTATTCTTATTTCTTTTTAAGTTCAGTGGCCTGTCATTGTATTTACATGCATGTGTCATAGTGTGCTCATTGTGTTCCTATATGTACGTAGATCAAATGCTTTGCCTTCCTCAATAAACTCAATAACTTCCTCCTAATAACTTTCCAGATATAATACATGCCTGTAAAAAATGTGAATGGTCTGACTGTAGGGTGTTGTGGGCAGTTATACCAAGGTGTTGCAATGTCATATGAGTGCTTGCTAACTTGCTAGAGTGTTCTGGATTGTATCTTAAAGGGGTCATATGATGCGATTTCAAGTTTTCCTTTCTCTTTGGAGTGTTACAAGCTGATTGTGCATAGATAAGATCCCTGAAGTTGCAAAGACTAAAGTCTCAAAACCAAAGAGATATACTTTATCAAAGTTAAGACTCTGCCACGCCCCCCTAAAACGGCTCGTTCTAACACGCCCCCACATATCTACAACACATACCAGCTTCATCACTGTGTCTGTCACGCGACTCTGTTCCCCTTTCGGGCTCTGTCTTTACATTTATTTTGAAAGATGAAGCTCGCGATTATGGTAAGGGGCATTACATTTCCGACGAGTGCTTGCGGTGTTCGGCCAATCACAATGCACTGGGTCAGCTGGCCAATCAGAGCAGACTGCGCTTGTCGGAAGGAGGTACTTTGTAGAAAACGAAGCGTTTGAGAGAGGCGGGGCATAGAGGACCTACAATAATGTACAGTATTTGAAAAATTATGTGTTTTTTTAACATTAAAGCGTGTCAAAACATATTCTGTTACACCAAATGCACAAAATAATGATCTTTAAAAAAGCATCATATGACCCCTTTAAGCTCAATATTCTCCCATGTTTTTACTGTAAAACTGGGGATCATTAATTTGCTAACTGCAACAGTTCAGATGTCAGAATAAAAAAAAAATAGATGTTTACATTTTCTGGAAAACAAAACATTGGTGGTGCTTTCCCATACAAAGATTGATGCTATGATTTTAGGGTGTTGTGTGTGATTTCCAGAGTCTTGCTATGTGGTTGCTAAGGTCTTCTGGGTGTTTTGTAACACGCTGCTATGAGGCTGATAAGGTGTTTTGGCTGGTTGCTAGGCAATTGCTTACTGGCCCAAGTCAAAAGAGCCCATCCCTAAATGTCTCAGGACAATCTGTGGGATTGTTTGCTTTTATTTTTGGCTAAGCGAAAAACTTACACTACCATTCAAATGTTTAGGGTCTGTAGGATTGTTTTATTTATTGTTTTATTTAAATTTGCTCCATTTATTTGCTCAAAAATACAGCAAAAACAGTACGGTGAAATAGTTTTACAATTCATTATTACATATTATTACATTTCTTATTACTATCAAACGTTGAAAATTGTTGTGCTGCTTAATATATTTATTATATCTTTTTATAAATACCTCACTCATTCATTCATATATGAAATAGAAATCTTTTGTAACTTTATAAATGTCTTTACTGTCACTTCTGATTAACTGAATGCATCCTTGCTGAATAAAAGTATGCATTACAAAAAGTCTGATCATTTCGAAAAGTAACAGCTTTCCTCAACAAGTCAAACAATTCCATTCATGTCTGTAACACAACTGATGCTAAAACAAAAGTTAAAACCCCAAATCTCTAATTCATGTATGGATAATAGTAGTATTACATTTATGCTAGAAATGTTTCAAACACTTCTTGTGCTACATGACCCATTAAAATACTACAATTCACATGAAAGGCCAGCTACCATCAATGTAAACCGAAACTCCCTAAACAAAGCAGGCAAAAGCACTGAATAACTGAATAGCATTTACGTAGTTACTCACTTAAACTTCGACAAATTATATTCCAGACCTGCATGGGCTCTTGGGACATATTTGTACATATAACTCAACATATCTTACAGAAATCATTTACATACAAATTCCTTTTCTTCATATGCTACACAAGCAAACTCTCTGCTTTTCATAATTTAAAGATATTATACCAACTCGTTGCACAGGCGATAGAGAAGGCCCGCAGAGATACATTTGCCTTTCACTATCAACATGGCCACCTTGATGACTCCATGTTTGCTCTTAATTTACATGACAGAGAGGGGAACAGGCTCACATCCCTCCTGAGGCTACAGCCACCGTTATCTACAATGGAACATCTTGCACTTGTTAGACATGGCACGGATAAAGTCTGAAAGTGATGAACGCCGGGATGAAACAAACGAGGAGACGAATAGCTCAAAGCACAATGCTTTTAACAAACCAAAGCTCTCAAGAGATAAAGAACTGGCAACTCCACGGTTATTCAGGTAAACTCTTCCATTTATATTCTTTGATGGCATACTTTGTTTAGCTTATCAACCACAAGCAAAGAAAAAAAAAAGTAAGTTACCTGATGCAACATGTAAAATAAGTATAAAATGTCATGCATTTTCTTTCAGGACCCCCTCATCATGTGTGATCCTGTCTGCAGCTTTTACTACAAGAAGCTTTCATTTCAAGCAAATATACATCTATGTTTAAACAGCACACTATCTCTTCTATTGACTTACCTCTTATAGACTCTTGAGATGCACAGGAGAGGAGAGAGTGAAACAATAAGCAGAAGGTAAAAAAAGGATCTGTGTGACTTTGTCAAGGCCTCACCAGACAAGTGAAGTGGGACTGCCTTGGTTGTCTTGACGATGGATGCTTTTTTAAGCAAATCAGCCAATGAAACGCGTACAAAAGGCCATGTGACTCTCTGGCTGCTTTTCAGCAGGAGGAGACAAGAAGCACTAGGATTATTGACGTGGAGATTACGGCGATATGATTTTTCTTTACACTCTTTTGACTCTGTTTTTATGATGACTGCAGTCCCATAACTTATGTAGCTGTCTGGAATATCTTTGAGGTTAAATAGGGACTGGAAGACTGAGCCTCAAGGCTACGGAGATGAAAGATTGCCACCATGTGGACGATTCGGAGAATTACCCCAGTGGACCTCTATTTTGAAATGATAGAATTCAATTAAAGAGTATTTTGAACTAATAAATCACTCAGTGACTCAACCATGATAAATATTTATTTTAATTAAGTATAAAAAGAGAAGAAATCACCATCCATACCTGAGAAATACAGTAGTGACACATTTATATCACATGCTTATCAAATATTCTCACTCAACTGGATTTTTTCTTCTAAGACTCTGTATATTCTTGAAGTGTGTGTGTGTGTGTGTGTGTGTGTGTGTGTGTGTGTGTGTGTGTGTGAGAAATTCATATA